AAACCCGGCGAGTTTTGCTCAGCTTCTGCCCTCTGTTTAGGGTCTGGGCAGAGTTTCACAGTTCCTTCTTTCTTTTTTTCTGTGTTCTTTTTTTTTCTCTTTCTTTTCTCTGAGCTTTCTCTTTTCCCTCTTCTTCGCCCTTTTTTTGTTTATCTTTTATCTTCTTTTCTTCTCTTTTCTCTTCTCCTCTTTATTTTTTCCTCCTCCTGCCCCAGGCCAGGCAGAGGAGCGGCCCAGTCCGCCCGGCCGCCTGGGCCCGGCAGGTTGCCTACGGCGATCGCAGCGCGGGGGGAAGGCTCCGGTCCCCCTGCCGCTGTCCGCCCCCACGCCGCGATGCCCACTTGCTTTTCCGCTCCTGCATTTGGGGGAGAGGCGCTGGATTGCTGCAGGCAGCCGGTGGCCTCCTGGGGCCGGAGACTCCCGGCCCCCCAGGAGTTCCCAGGCCCTTCCGCCCGTCCTCCCGGGAAAGAGCCGGGGGAGAAGGCAGGCAGGGCCCGGCGCCGGGGGAGAGGCTGCAGGGCGCGGGCAAGGGCCGCAGGCAGGCCCTGGCGCTGCCCTTGCCGTGTCATTGCCGCCCCGCGGCCGCCTGACCTCGCCTCGTTGGGCCGCTCTCCCCTCTCTCCCCAGGGTTCGCCCTACGACCACACGCCGGGCATGGCCGGTTCCCTGGGGTACCACCCGTACGCGGCGCCGCTCGGCTCCTACCCCTACGGGGACCCCGCATACCGTAAGAACGCGACGCGGGACGCCACGGCCACCCTCAAGGCCTGGCTCAACGAGCACCGGAAAAACCCCTACCCCACCAAGGGCGAGAAGATCATGCTGGCCATCATCACCAAAATGACCCTCACCCAGGTGTCCACCTGGTTCGCCAACGCGCGGCGGCGGCTCAAGAAGGAGAACAAAATGACCTGGACACCGCGAAACCGCAGTGAGGACGAGGAGGAAGAGGAGAACATAGACCTGGAGAAAAACGACGAGGACGAGCCTCAGAAACTGGAGGAGAAGGGGGACCCCGGGACGCCAGACACAGGTAGAACGGCAGGCTCGGCCG